GGCACTATTTACCCTTTACTGCCCCACTCCTCGAGAACTGAGCCGGATTTTTATCGAAATTGGTCATTGACTGTGAATTTGGCCAGAAACTTGCCTTCAGGGGTAATTCGACCCGTAGAACACGAATATCACATTTGTTTACCGCTAGAACGCCTGGCGCTCGCGTCAGAAGCGCCGGCGCCAAAAGGCGCCAGAACATCTCGGATCCCCAAATTCGCTGGAAAGTTGTCCTCAGAGGTATTTTGACCCGTAGAATATGATTATCACATCAGTTTGTTACGAGTGAACCTGTAGCCTGCGCTACGAGCGCCCGCGCAAAACTGTTGTGATAGCGCCGGCGCCTGTGGCGCGGGCGCCAAGCGTTTTCGCTCTAAACCGGTATTATATTCGTGTCTACGGGTCAAATTACCCCTGAAGGCAAGTTTCTAGCCAAATCCACAGTCATGGACGAATTTCGATCAAAATCCGGCTCAGTTCTTGAGGAGTGGGGCAGTAAAGGGTAAATAGTGCCGGAGTACTCTATTAATATCATGTTGATAAGGAATGGTGAAAGTACGAAACATCATGATGCGTCTGAATATATAGGTACCGTTTCAAATGTAGCAGAAGCTGTCGAATGGCTCACTTATACCTATTACTATACTAGAGCAACGCAGAATCCAATTGCTTATGGCCTCCCACACATGGTCCTGGATAAGGTGAGCTGAACACGTCGCTTTGTAATACTTTCCGTTGGGACGGTCTGACGGTCTTCTCTTTGCTTACTAAGTGAACCTCTCGGTTTGCGGCCCTGCCTGCTATTTCCCTTCCTTTCTTCAAGGACCCCGATTTACGTCACCATCTAACGCGCATGGTTACTGATGTTGCCGTCAAGCTCGATCAGAACCAAATGATTCGGTTCGACAGTGTGTGAGTTCTTAAGTCTCAGCTTTTCTTTTCGGCCATCAAGGTTACTCACTATTTAGGAACGCTTTCATGCACGCGACCGATCTTGGGAGAATTGCGTCCAATTTCTATATCAAATATGAAACAATAGAAATGCTCAATGAAACCGGTAGGTCATGTAGCGGTTGCTTTCAGGTCAAACTCTGGTACTGGCAGATTTGTAACTTTATTTGTACTTTACTTCTAGGCCTTCCTGTATCGCTTAGTGCTTTCATGCCAGATGATATGGTACTTGCCTTAATATCGATGGCTACAGAGTTTAGCCAACTCAAGGTAGAACCACTCTTTTTGTTCCAAATTTTGAAGTTTTTTTTCTTATTTTGGATAAATACCTGAGATCTGACAAGATTTTCAACTCTTGGTTCGGTTTTGTTATTGCTTGCTTGTTTATGCTTGCTGATATTCATTCTTCAAGATTCGAGAGGAAGAATGTCTTGATCTCGAGGAGTTGATTAGCTGCGGTTGCGTGCTTCCGCTACGTGGTGGAGGGTTGGCAAGTGTCGCTGGGAAAGTGAACGTTTTATTGCAGGTAAACCAATGTCGTTCCTATTAATTTGCACTCAGAACCCCTAAGACTCCATATGTTCGGTTTTGCACACTGTATTGCGTGCGATTCTAGCGTTTATTTGAAGGCAGGATTTACGATGAAAAGTTAGCTCATTGAAAATAAGGGTAGAGGTGGTCAGGGGAGCAGGGATGAAGAAGAAACCATGTGAAACGGCCCGAAACCAGGGTCAACCCTGCGTTGCGCAAAGAACAACGAGGGGGTCGTATTCAGCCGACCGAAAAGGGAGGGGGTCGTATCCACAGACGGGCTGCAAGACGGCTTGAAAAGTGCAGTGTCCGGGAGTGCACTTTCAGCCTCTAATGTTCTCCAGGAGCTCTGCACGCTGTCGGAGAGTCACACAGACATGAGCTCCATGGGAGCCAGGGTGAATAACGGTCGAGGAAATCCTCGACAGGGGGTCGTATTTGCTCCGATGAGAGTTGGGAGGGGGTCGTAATCAAAAGGTTCATCAACGGACACAACGGTGCTGCTGCCACTTATTTGCTGTCATCATTAGTTTCACAAGTGTTGTAGTTAGCCTAATGCAAATAATATCTTACAACTGTCTGGAATTAAAATTTAAATGGAAAGTGGTTGTTGGTTTGGTTCGTAGTGATCAGTATGGCATAGGAAGGCAACGCGTCCTGCAAAAGAATCGTAGGGAAAGGGCAGCGAGATAACAGGCAGATTCGCAGCCTTCTTGGCATCATCAGATCCTGCAACCGCAAGCGTGTCATTCAAC